TTTAAATGTTGCGGTCAGGGGGAGGAGATCACTGTCTGAAGAAATTTAGCCCTGCCATGAAATTTCTGCCCTTGCAGATAGATGATTGTTTTCCCCAGAAAGAAGTTTATTTCATATGTCGTGTTCTTCAGGCTGGATGTATTTTTATAACGCTACACTTGTTTGAGTTGCGCCTGCCAGGGCTCAGTAAGTCTGAACTCAAACTGAGTCTGGTTTCGCAGGGCTGCAGATTGCCCGTGCCTCCTCAGCTCATGGCTCGGATCACGTTTGAGGACCTGGCGGAGCTGGAGGACGAGCAGCTGGACAATGACGTCCCGGAGGACAACTCTGAGCCAATGGACGAGGAGGAGGAGGAGAGGCTGTTGGCCCATTGGCAGGCTGTAGCCAGCACACACCAAGTGTCCGTCCCCCAAGGTAGCAGGCAGGGTCACCTTGCTATGACAGGGCAAAGTAAAACAGTTGCTGGACAGTAATGTAAAGGAGAAGAGCACTGCGGTTCCTGGTTATATGCTAAGCACAGCTACCCTTCATGCCTGTGATTAAGATTGCCGAAGGCTGCTGTAATGCCACAAAATAAAGCATGCGTGCATTAGTAGTGACATCTGTGTAGCATAGAATCACGGGTAGTCATTTTACACTAATGCAGCTTGCTTGATGACAACTGGAAAGGAGGTGCCCTTACTCCCATGGCTGCATTACTGAGTCATCTGAATCCTGACTCAATAATAATCCTTAATCCTCTAGTGGGCTTTGTAGTGTTCCTTTAAAAGAAAAATGTCTTCTGTTTTCATTTTCTGCCTCGGATGGAGTAACTGCCATGTGGAATCGTGTTGATCAGCTCTTTACTTTAAACGGTACTGCGGGATTGTACTAGATACAGAAAAGAACAGTTACAAATGAGAGGTAGCTAATTTGGCCCATATAGCCCGCTAAATTAACCAAGGATCTCATCCAGTCCTTTTTAAAAAAGGATAGGGTATCAGCTTCATATTCATCTCAATGTGACGAGTGCATCCTTCAATTTTTATTTAAATTTTCGGCTTTTATATATATATACTGATGGAAAAAAGAACCGCAACATTTTCTGGAATGAGAATACTTTAGTTATAGCTTATTTACTTTCACAAAAAGTTGTCAATTTGTTTTTAGCCCTCTGACCAGCAATACAGCTTGTGCAGTGAGGCATTGCAACTTGCCAATCACACGAAAGCTCATTAGGTATACTTTTACTCAATGAGGTCCAGGTGGAAAAATGCCTGATCAGGTCACCTTTAAAAAGGCCTTAATTCAAAACCTAGATCACTGCAAGAAAAAGGCCACACTTTTCTTTGCATTCCATAATGCCTTGAATGTCACCAGAAGCAAGGGAGAGGGCCATTCGCATGCTGCGGGCAGGCATGTCATGTGCCAGCGTTGCCAAACACTATGGAGTGAGCTGTTCCACTGTGTCCCGACTGCAGAGAAGGTTTCAGCAGACCAGCAGGACGGATGACCGTCCAAGATCCGGTCACCCTTGGATGACCACACCAGAGCAGGACCGACACATCAGACCGATCCATCTGAGAGATCGTTTCAGATCTGCCACCCATACTG